ATTGTGTGTGTTTTTTGTTTAGTTCAGTTTTTCTAAAGTGTTTTTTTTTTTTGTTCTTGAGTCAGTGAGTGGTGATAAATCATTCAGTAAGAGATGAAAAAAAAAAAAAAAAAAAATCATTCAGTAAGAGAAAGCATTGGACGAAGTTGGTCAACACCAATTAACCCCAAAAAATAAAAGTTTGTCAACTTTGCTTCCCACGTTTGTGACATTGCCAGTGTTCAAAAAAAGAGTCTAGAACATTGCCAGTGTTCAAGGTGACGGTTAGCGGACTGCTTCAACCTCTTAAAATCGTATAAGTTTAGTTTTAATGTATTTTCTCAATTTTCAACTACATAAATTTTAGCTTTTTATATATTGTTTTGATATGAGTTAAATAATTTTTTTTGTCTACCTTTTGTTTTGATTTAAGATTTTTATTTTCTAATAGATAGTTGTATATGATTTTTATGTATAATATTATATTTATAATGTGTTATGATAGAAACGCCTAAACAGCCTAAAATCGTCTATGTTCCGATTAGGCGTTTTAGGCGCTAGGCGTTGGGTCACGGTCCGCTTAGCACCTAACGCTTTCTTGAACACTGCAAAAGGCCAAAAAAACAATTTCTTCAAATAAATTTGGCTGATACTATTTCCGTCAAAATAGTACAGTATATAATTACTAAAAATGATTCTGAAATGACGAATATTTATACTCAATTTTTTTTTTAATATCAATTATGATTGTGTTTAACAAAGTTAGAAGCATTTGTTTTCGATATATGAATTGAATTAACTTTATAATAAGTTCATAACAATGAGTTTCTTATTTTTGAGACTAAAACCCAAAAAGCTGAAGCTTAAAGTTTTCTACTAGTAGTCCAGTATAAGTGTAGAGAGCTAAACGAAGGTGTTATGGACTCTAAGCCCATATTGTAGCGTTATACCTTTTTAGTGGACTAGACCGATGTCAACAAATGGGCATCAGGTTTTAAACCCAACACATTAGTTTATTTTTATTTTTGCTAAAAATGGTATATTTATTTATTTAAACTTTTCAAATAATTAATGTTAAGAAATTAAATATTCTCTATTTCATAATCTTTATAAAATCATATAATTTTCAAACATGGTTTAATTTTAGTTTATAAATTTATTTTCCAGAAAAAATGTAGAATTATAAGTAATTTTTATACTCTATAATTAAAATTGAGTAATAACTTCAGTGTAAAATCCACATATTATCAATAGAATATGATCAAATTTACATAACATGTCCACATATGGATAAACTATTCAAAAACATTAAAATTATAATCTTGCATTCATTTATTAAATTTAAAATGTACTAATATAACTAAACAATAATTACTACATAAAAACATGCAGATATAGGTAAGAACAATCAACAATGATAAAATTTGAGAAACACAAGAAAACACACAAAAAGGGAAACATATATATTCTTAGAATAAATAATATAATGTAAAGACAAAATTAGGTTAGGTAAATTAATAACAATTGACAAAATGCAAATACAGGAAACAAACAAGAAATTCCCCTAAATTATTGTAAGATTTTTTTTAATCATGTCTTTATGAATCAATTTCATCAGATCACAAATATCCGGGATCCACGTCGTGTGCTTATGAAATCACATACGTCCACGTGTCATAGTATCCATCTGGACCGCATATATTCATCTGCTTCGTCAACCTTGACGACTTCAGTTTTTTTTCTCTCTTGCCGTTGAAGCAAGTGAGAACCAAATCCCTCTGTTCGACCTCGCCGCGGTGAGAAGCGATGAAGTCGGAGACTTTAACATTAGTTCTGGTGTATCTCGCCGGAATCATGGAGAGAGCCGATGAGTCTCTGCTTCCAGGAGTTTACAAAGAAGTAGGAGATGCTCTACACGTGGATCCCACAGCTCTTGGAACTCTAACTCTGTTCCGGTCTATTGTTCAGTCTTCTTGTTACCCTTTAGCCGCTTACTTGTCTTCCAGACATAACCGAGCTCACGTCATCGCTCTCGGTGCTTTCCTCTGGGCCACTGCCACTTTTCTCGTCGCCGTCTCCACTACTTTCTTCCAGGTTTGAACTTCTTTACCTTTTTTGCTCTGTTCTAATCAGATCTGTTGGATTTTTGGAATTTGTTGGTCTGTGTAGCACAAAATCTAGAGCTTGACGGTGTTTGATTTAGAAAACTTTCAGTTTAGGCAATTAGACATTGATTTGAATGGCTGGACGATGTTGAAACAATTAAAGATCGTTGCTTTTTTGGTTTGATGTTGAGAATCATTTGTTTTTACGTGAAGACATTAGAACTTAAGACTGTGTCATTGTGTTCTTCAGGGGATTGCTTCGATTTCATTGCAAGTTTCATTTGTTACAAGGGTGAATCGAATGGATTTACATTCTTGCTATGTATGTTTGGTGGCTGAAACTAGGTGGCAGTATCGAGAGGGTTGAACGGGATAGGGCTCGCCATCGTGACACCCGCGATTCAGTCACTGGTCGCTGACTCAACCGAAGACAATAACCGTGGCATGGCATTTGGATGGTTAGGATTCACATCAAACATTGGTTCCATACTTGGCTATGTCTTTTCCATCCTCTTTGCCTCCAAATCTTTCAATGGTGTTGCTGGATGGAGAATCGCTTTCCTTTTGGTAGCATTCGTTAGCGTGATAGTAGGCATTTTGGTCCGCCTCTTCGCAACAGATCCTCACTACAGCGACAGAAAAATCACTAAACATGTCAAAGACAAACCTTTCTGGTCAGACATAAGAGATCTACTGCAGGAAGCAAAGATGGTGATAAAGATTCCGTCTTTCCAAATCTTTGTCGCTCAAGGAGTTTCGGGTTCCTTCCCCTGGTCAGCTTTCGCTTTTGCACCATTGTGGCTAGAACTCATTGGTTTCTCCCACAAAACAACTGCGGTTCTCGTAACCCTTTTCACTATTTCGTGCTCTCTTGGAGGTTTATTTGGAGGATACATGGGAGATACTCTCGCCAAGAAGTTCCCAAATGCCGGTAGGATAATCCTCTCTCAGATAAGCTCTGCCTCAGCAATTCCTTTAGCTGCGATTTTGCTTATCGGATTACCTGATGATCCTTCCACGGCCTTTAGCCACGGTCTGGTTCTTGTCATCATGGGATTATGCATCTCATGGAACGGTCCAGCTACAAACGGGTACGTTTAATTCTTATATTTCAATCTTCTTGAAACTTTTTGGCTTTTCTTTATTTCCGGAAGAATCTACTTGAAATGGTTTTATACAGTCCAATATTTGCAGAGATTGTTCCTGAGAGAGCGCGGACCAGCATCTACGCATTAGACAGATCATTCGAGTCAATATTAGCATCTTTTGCTCCTCCTATAGTAGGGATGCTTGCTCAGAACATCTATGGCTATAAACCGATCCCCAAAGGATCCTCAAGCTCGATCAAGATTGAAACAGACAGAGAGAACGCAGCATCGCTCGCTAAAGCACTCTACACAGCGATCGGGATCCCGATGGTCATCTGTTGCACAATCTACTCGTTCCTATATTGCACGTACCCGAGGGACCGAGACAGAGCGAAAATGCAAGCCTTGATCGAGTCAGAGATGCAACAACTCAATGAAGAAGAAGAAGAAGAGATTGAGGTGAAGTGTTTAGGAGCTGAAGAACACGATGAGACTTATTTGCTTAAGCAGCATCAGAATGAGAGTTAAGAACAGAGTCAAATGATGATGATTTGGGTTATTGACAATAGGGCTCCATACTTCAATTATTGGAAGATGGGGTCATAATTTTTATTTTTGTAAAAGAAACGCACTGAATACCGGTATATAACATTACAAGAACAGAGTAAAGGAAAATACGGAAAATTACTGATTTTATTTTTGTAAGGAAATATATTAATGAGTATTGAATGATTTATTCGCATTCTTAATTTGCAAATCCTATAATAAAATTAATGCGGAGTATTAATTTGGTAAAAACATTAGACTTAGTTAATACCGAACCGGAATTAAACCGGGTTCCGACAGAACAAGAGGGAGGCGCGTCAGTATATTGGAGTTATTTCCAATTTTGGGTTCTGATAATTCACTTTACTCTTCTTTCTCTCCCAAACTTTTATACACAAGGGAAGAAGATCCATCTCTCTCTCTCTCTCTCTCTCTCTCTCTCTCTCTCTCTCTCTCTCTCTCTCTCTCTCTCTCTCTCTCTCTCTCT